GTGTGTGTGTGTGTGTGTGTGTGTTCTTGTTGTTGCTGTTGTTGTTGTTATGTGTATCTTTGGGGAATGAGAATATGTGTTTGAGCCTGTATGTGTATGTTCACTCTCTCACGGAACAATGGAACATCTTTAAGAATGATGGAGATGGATTTCAATGAGAAAGTACTGTGCCTAATCTGGTTAGTACCACTTTGCTTCCGTCAAAAAACAGATGGAGTTGCCCATCCTTCTGCATTTCCATACAGCTAACTACAACCAAAGGCCACATAATTGATGCAAGCTAAAAGTTTTTATGGTATTTCTAGAGGCAGAATTATTTATCTGCAAAAAAATCCTCTGGAGAAAAACTAAGTAATGAGTTCCATGACGGTGAGAAAGAGGCTACTGAGAGGCAGGAAAGGCTGCCGAGCAATTGTGTCCCTCTCTGCTCTGGGTGAAAGGAGGCTGACCACTGATGACTTCCCTGCATCCTGTTTTGTTCTTTTCCTCATCGCCTACTGCCATTTTCCTGTCACCTTTGCCTAACCTTGGTTCATCTAACCTGGTCCTTGGAACTAGCCTGGACTTTATTCTCAGAGAAATTCTGAACTGCAGAGGTGCTTGTGGCTGCATCCCAGCCCAGCAGAAATCCCACATCTATGCTGAGGTGTGAGATGAGGTTGTCTTTGCGCACCACTTAGACTCATCATACTCTCAAGTACCCACTCCATGTTGTGTCTGCAGCACTCAGAAACTGCTTTTATTCCAAACATCTTCATCCTGAGTTAAATTCAGCCTGATGGAGAATTGGGTGAAATGAGAACTCTCAGACATTGCTAGTAGTGTAAAATGGTGCAGCCCTGTGAGAAGCTATGCGTAATTATTCACAAAGTGGAACTGCAGACTTCGGGTGGAGCATTGATTCTAGAATGGAAAGTTGTGTCCACAGAGAATAGTGGACAACAGGTATACAGCAGGACTCATCAGAACAGTCGAATAGAAACTCTTCAGATACCCATTACTGATGAGTGCAAACATAAAATGTGGTCCATGGGATATTGTTAAGTATGGAATAATATATGCAGTCATTTGGCCATGAGTTAGTCAACCTTCTGTTACTCAAAGAAATCCCTGACACAATCAGAGGAAAGGTTAATGTAGATGCCAGATTGTAGAGATTTTCTAGTTTTCTGAACTCATTCCTTTGGGCCTAAATGGAGCCAACCTGTGGTACAGAGAGCTTCTTTAGGAGGAAGCTGTCATCCTTGGAGGCACTGGAAAGCACTGAGTGAGAGCAAGGGGCTGGTCCACTGCCATCCAGTGGTCCTGTGCTGGGGAACTAAGCCTTCAATGCACAGACTGGGGAACTTGCTAGGAGAGCAAGGCAAGCAGTACATTCACTTATCTGCCCACTGAGTTCTTCTCCCAGGTCACCAGGCATGCACATTTTATACAGATATACAGGCAGGCTGAACACCTGCACATATAAACAAAAAATAAAATGAAAAATTATCAAAACTGAGTAAAAATACACAATGTTCTCCACATCCCTGTGCTCAAAGCATCATGTGTTTCCTGCCTCTGTGCAGGAATATATGGGTAGAGAGGGTATAGATTAATCAAAGGTAACTTTCTTCTCCATAGTATCCCAGGTGATCTCTTCTTACATTAGTGTTTTCTCAGAAACTAAGTGTGGAT